ATGGATAAAACTGAATCTTAAGAAGACAATATAGGAATACTACACACACAGACACACGCAACCCCCCCAGAAAAAAACAAAGAAAACTTTCCCAAATAATAATTCCCAGTTTGTGCTACTAAACTCAGTAAAAAATATTGGTTTAATCCATCCTACACTTGACAGAAATATCGATATTATTGTCATCGTTGAGGAGATACAAAGGTGGAGGGCGAAAAACACTTTTAGGTACCATGCAAACGCAACATTTACTGTACAGTCGACTCAACTGGGCCCTGTAAGGTAAGTTTCAGCTGAGGAAGGATTCACTTCGGTACACGGCTACATGCCTCTGCACCTTGGCTTGCGAGGAAACGCTTTCATAAAAAAGTAAGAAAAAGAAAACGGAAAGAGAGAATGTAGATAGAGATAAGTCTCGGGCCATGTTCCCGCGTATGGAAGCGTTTGGAAAGCCACAGAATCTTTTGTGTGTTTGCCATCACCGACTTACAAATGCAGTTTTTGGGCACTTCTTTTAGGGGCAGGTATTTTTTTTTTTTTGCGTACATCTTAATTAGGTGTTTCTGACCCAAATCCAATTTTTGGGGAAATCCATACTTGATCGCGCGGCCGTTCACAATTACAAATATGTGCCAGTCGTCTGCAATGTCCTGCGTAAACGGCTAACAAAATTAAAGGTATCCGGTGTCTGGAGTAGGGGACGGATCAATATCATATGTAGTGAGTGTTTTTACCGTTTGTTTAACTTTTCTTTGGCACTGGAGCCACGAACGTTTATACCGCTCGGCCATTTCTTAGGAAATCCTAACCCGGTTCTGATAACCCCCCAAATGCTAAATAATTAAGAAAACCTCCCTTCTCTGGACTGAGCGTTCTCCGCATTATCGGCTTCCATGGATGCAGGTAAGGGACCTGGCTGCACAGACTCAGGTCACATTCGAAAATATCGGATACGTATCGGATTTAGGACCACATATCCGAGTGGCCTGGGTCGCATTTGGAAACCCCCCCCCCAAAAAAAACGGATCGTTGTGAACCTAGCTTTGTCATATGTCAGAAGCAAACTGTGACAAAGAACAAAACTTCAATGACACAGGGCCCAAGGCCTGTGTTTTTAGTTTTGCCGTTAAGAAATTTACGAAATCACGCAAAAATGACATTTAAGATCTTTGCTCTTGCCGTTCACTTGTGCTCGTGTGAACATAGTAGATACAAATTCGTTCTCTGGCCCCAGGCTGCATGGAAACAGTCTCCTAGGCCGAATTTCAATTAGCGTCCTACGACTGTTGACTGATTTGTCGGGTGATTTGTCAGTTTATCGCGACGTATCTACTTCCATTCCAGTTTCTACCGCCTCTGCAGGGTACCGAAGGTTTTCACTTTAGGTGACCGCAAAACTGCATTAGCATGTGGATCAGAGAGCACACAAAAAGCTGGGCCTCCTTGAAAACAACCCACGTGGACGAGGGTCAAAGGGTCGGCGTTGACGTGCATTTTTTTATTTGTTTGTTTTATTTGACGTCCATGAGCCCCAACGGTAATGGCTAGGAGAGTAACCACGGCCCATCACCGAGGTAAAAGCATGTTTTACGCGACAACCACATCCACAGAAAATCCTTTTGACGATTAAAGAGAGCTAACCAAGGCATCTGGATGACTAAACAATGTTTAGGTGTGTCTTTATGTCTTATTCCAATAAAAGACAGTTATTTTGAGAGTCTTAGATTTCAAACCTGTGCACCATTTTGTCTAATAGTCTGAGTGTATCAATGACTCACACGCACGCTTTGCCTGGGTTTGCGGATTAATTTAGGTCGGACGAAACTGAGGCGTGTTTTTTTTTTCCTTTACTACCCACAATCATCCCGTTTCCCCTCTTTAAACCTAGATTTGGCAGTTGCTTCCATTTCTCAGAATAAACAAGCTCAAACGCACCATAAATATTTCACACTGATATTAAATGCTGTCTCAATTTCACAGAATTAGAGCTCTAAAAGGGACTACAAAATACTCCTTCATTTATTAATCATGCTATCATCAAAGCAGCGTTATGAATACTGTTTGAAGCAAAACAAACACGGAAACCAGGACATTCTCCGAGCTGGTCAGCACCACCTCGGACGTGTTCTCGTCTTGAACCCTCCGCAGCAGTGCCTTTCTCCCACTTCTGAAAGCGCTTAGGCCTTCTGAAGTGTAAAACAACCGGGCGTACCGGCTTTAGTAGGGAACCCTGGAAATACACTTTCTCTCTCTCTCTCTCTCTCTCTTTCTCTCTCAACACGCGCCTTTTTGATCAAAGTGCTCCGCGGGGAGGAAAAAAACATACACAGCTTTACATGTGCATAGGCGAACGCTTCCCGACACGCATAAATACACGATATATAAATAACCCAAACAGGAAAACGGGGCTTTCCCACAAGCAGAGTGGCAAAAAGCTGGGGAACAATGACGCAGCAATATCGACGACTGACAGACGAGGAGCGGTGGATGTCAGCCTACTTCCACGCGGTTCCGGGTAGAAGCTGTGATAAACCGACGACAAGGAAACCCAGGAGTTGCTCTGTATGGCTTTGTCAGAGGAGAAAATGGCTGTAAAACCGGTGCTTCTAGCAGCACGGTGTGGCGGTTCCCCTACAGGGGCATCCCACATGAGGGGCGCCAATATTCTCTTGGGAATAAAAGGTGAATTGGGGCTCTAATTGTCATGTCTCGTGCCTTTCTGATGACTTCCCTTTGGGCTAAAGTACATTCAAACTATTTGTGCTATTTCGGAATTTGAAACGACCGCTTAAAAGAAAATAGACAAAAAAAAAAAAAGTACATTTGTCAATGTGATTGACTTTTTACTGTCAGTCTGACCCTGTCCCCTAAAATGGTGTTAAAACAGTATTGTCCGAATTTGTTTGGATAACAAAACACTTGACTTTGCGCAGGAATTTTGAAGCTCTTTTGAAAGCTCTCCCGAATGGCACTGCTTAGGATTGATGGGTAAGAGAGGAGCACGGCCTGGTTCGAGCTACCACGCGCTTCTGTTAGTTCCAGGTACGTGTGCGTTTTTGAAAGGTTTCTACCCATAAAGAAATATTTAAATAAATAAATATATATACTGACAGCAGGGTTTGTCTATAATCTTATCACGTAAAGACTGAAGAGGAAAGCTTTGAACTGAGATACCGTTGGACGACATTATTAAAAAAACAAAGAAAAAGAACCAGTTACCCGATTGAGCTAAAACACGGGGGAAATATAAACCGCTAAAGTGACAACGACAGTTGGTGCTATGAAAATATCACGAGTAAACAAAAAGACAAATGAACCAGCTGAAGTTGTCAATCTATAATTATTGCCAGAAATTGTTAAGGCTCCAATACAAGTAAAATGCTTGAGCCTGATCTAAATCGAAGTTTTTCTTTTGGCTTATTTAGTCTAGATCTCATCAGTATCCTTTAAAAGTCCTAATTAGTTGGGATTTGGGCTACAGCGACAATTCCAGTTTGCTACATCCATAAAGAGGCCGCTGTATTGACGAGGTTCGTCAAACTTAGACATGCTGCTACGTTATCAACAGCATAGCTGGCGACTGAGGATTGTGGCCTCTATGAATTTTTTATTCGAGTTTGATTTGTCTGTCACTGCAGAGGAACCGTAGGCTGAAAAGCTTTGTTGAGCCTACTGCGGATTAAAAGAGACACTGAATGTCTTTAGCGATCAATTCCAAGGTCACTGATTTCTGGATTGTTCTTTGTTTTTTTCCTTTCGACATATCCCAATTGGGTCAAGCCGACTCCATCCCAATCAAACTGACACAAACACGTATATAGAAAAAGTAGCCTGTGTTCTGATGCTGCTGCCTTCTCCATTCCTTGTGGTCTTCATTAGTCGACTTGTATGAACCTTCCCTCGGCTCTCTGTAACATCTTATTTTTTGCTCCAGTTTTCTTTCTTTATGATCACTTTACAAACGATCTTGACACTGTATTTAGCAATACACACCAAGTTCCATGGATATATTTACTCATTAGTTAGCCCCACTGTCTCAATGGGAACACCAGTGTACAAAAACCTATACTTTAAGCACCAAATCCAGTGCTTAGTAAAGTATCAACAGTGTGTTTTTATATGGTAGACCACTTCTCTAGGAAAAGCTTTAATCCGATTAGCCTTTCCAAGTTGAGAGCGGTCATGACATAACGAGATATTCGTTGCCCTGCATCTTCAGAAAAGGTCCATGGTTGAACTACAAATGCCAAACAAGAGAACGCTGTAGTTCTGGCCATCACAGTATCACAGTTACAGTAGGAGGATTAAATGGATTTCACATATTTGATGTCAAAATTTCAGAATGGTAAAACATCCAACAAAATAATAATAACTGAATATGGTGGGGATGAGGGCTCCATCCAGTGAGACCAGGGACAAACTCGGTCCTTTCACTTCCAAGTCCCATGTTTCACATCGTTCCAGGGTCAGTCGCTGAGCCATAAACCTGACAGGCTGTGTCTGTTCCGTCGGTTTGCTTATTTCAGAAACCAATCAGCAGAATATTGCTCAAACACAGACTTCTACGCTAGTTAAGAAGGAAAAAAAAGTTGAAGCGTACGTTCCTCCCACATATCTGACACTGAAGTGGCTGGCAGTGAGTTCAGGTTCCCATGGATGTATCTGTTTGAGTTGTGTGCCTGCCTTGGTGGGCAAACAAGACCCAGAGTGGTTGCAGCTGTTGCTCCATTCTTCCCCGAAAACTGTTCCTGAACTCCTCGTTCTCAGAGAGTCAGAGGGGAGTCGCTATCTACCGAACGGACGTGGACCTGACTGGATGTAGTTTAGGTGCTGGACTTGGTTCTGCTTGGCCACCTCTTTCGGATGTTGCTACAGCAGATGGCACATTTTCTGGAACGAGGTGGGGGTGGGGGGTTGGGTGGCTTTGTCTGCTGCCTCTGGGGATGGAACTAGGGAGGATGGTTGGGGCGATTGGAGGAAGGAACAAGGTAGGGATCAATCTAGACCACAGTGTTTCGCTGCCTGTAGGGTGGAGGCGGCAAGACGGTGCCAGACTTTAGGGCAAACTCGGACATGTACTCGGGGTTTTCAGCTACCGCCGGCCGTATGTGTCCGTTCTGTTTATAGAAGAGCTTGGCGTTGGTGGAGCCTCCCTGGGCCGCGTCGGGGACCATCTGGATGGACGATTTGGGAGGCAAGCTGTGCTGCCAGTACTCGGGATTGTCAAAGGTTACCTTCAGCTTCTTCCCGCTGGCTTTACCTGACGTGAGCCCTCCGTGCTTCAGCATGCCCGCTGGGTGGGAGATGGCGTGGCTCTGGTAGGCTGGCAAACTGCCGTGCCCGATGGTGGCCGAGGCGGGCAGGACCCCCGACTGGCTCACCTGGACGTGAGCCGTGGTCGGTATTTGGCTCTGGGAGACGGAGCCGCCGCTCGGATTGCCCGGCTGTCCGGCGGGTTTGATGGCGTGATGGGCGTGAAGGATGTGAGGCGCTGGACCGTGGAGGCAGGGCACACCAGACGGAGACGGCTGGGCGGTGGGGAGGGGGAAGTGAGGCAGGCTGGTCTGAATGGTAAGCGGGAGGTGGGAGCCCGGGGTTGAAGCCGAGATAGAGGAGGGAGGCTGGGAGGGCAATGGCAAACCGTTTCGCCTCAGGGCTTCCAGGCCCAAGTCAGCCGGGCTGTGGAAGGTGTTGAGGTAGAGGGGCTCGTTGATGTACTCATCCTCTCCTTTTGGCTGGCTGTTGGGTGTGCTGTGGTAGCCTGGGTTGTCCAAGGCATGGATCTCACCGTTTTTACGTCGTGAGACAAAGGGGTTCTCCTCGATTGGGTTCAGATACTCTGCAGCACAGGTCAAAGAAAAAAGGATAGAGATTAGAGGATGAAGGGTAGAAGAGTCTATGCCAGACAATAAGAGAAGAATCCACAGAAAATAAAATCAATAGAGTACACAAAGTGAATGGCAATTGAAAGAGTAAGAGAAAGAGATGATTGGCTAATGAGGAAATGAGATGGTAATGGTGATAATACCAGCAACAGAGGACCAGATGGGAAACATGCCAGCAGTTCTTTGGCACGGGAAGCTCCATCTGCCTCGGGTGAAAGTGCCAACAAATGACCCCTCTTCACTACTTCCAAGTGCTGTAATGGTGGTGTGTGAAACCTATTGATTTTTGCCCACTCTTCAAGCTCCTCGACGTTGCATCAGATGCATTTTGCTGCAGGCTTTGTTATATTTGGAGCTACTCACAAATCAAAGAGGGTGGGCACCGGAGCAGGGCTGATGGACTGAAATATGATCAAAGGCAAAACATGACTCCGGAGTGGTAGCTGGCATAAACTGCCGTCGACGGAAACTCAGCAGGAATATTAATCAATGGGAGCAAAGTTATATGAACAAGCAAAACGACAGGCGGACGGTACTACAAAAGATCGCATTTACAATGTGGATGAGGGAGAGCAGATGGCGCAAAAAAATAAAGATGGTCTTGTTTTATGGGTGGCGTTTGACACGTCTGTAGCTTCCAGTGGACACTTTGCACAATTAATTTCACTTAAATCTACGGGTTACTACTACTGTTGGGTTCCAAAACTACCTGAGGAGCACTTGTCCTTCATTGGCGTCATGTAGCCGTCCTCATCGGTGTCCCCTCGGGATGCTCTCTCCCCCAGGAAGATGGTGGGGTCAGCGCTGTACCTCTGGGCTCCGCTGTCCTCCCCCCCGGCCTGGGTCAGGCCCTTCTTATGCAGGCTCCCGTTACAGCGCTGGTCTTCCAGGGCCGGACCCGGGACGCCGGTGGCCTCCTGGTTCACGCAGGCTTGGGCGCCGGCCAGTGCTCCTCCCTCCGCCGGGTTTGGACCACCGTCCCGATAGCCGAACTGGTTCTGCGGCAAAAAGGACAGTCGAGGATGAGACACCAAACGTAAACCCAACGCTGCCTTGCCGTGGGGTACCTAAACCCTAGACCTGCTCTTCTGTGCTGTACTGTTAGCACGTTAGCAGCAATTATAGGAAGCAGAGCAACTAAACACAACAGGAAATAGGAATAAAAGGTAATGACCCTGCGTTACATCCCTTCACCTACTCCAAAAGTCCAACCTTTGGTGGATGACAACAGAAGGACAACGTATAGCCCCTAAGCAGGACGTTGAGGTAAATGTGCGAGCAGCACAGTGCGCGCGTTACAGAGCCAACAGCCTGCGCTCATTGTGTGTTTTCGGCTCAGGGTCTTTAAAAAGAACATCTGTTAATTGCTTATAAAGCACGGAGTGATGAAACTGGGGGCCGAGGGAGCAGTCGCATAAAGAGTCCCGGTTAAAGACAAACACGCCCAGAAGAACTGAAGACGGCGGAACTCGTTCACAAAAAAACCCCCATCAAAAGTCTGAAAAACTTTCAGCACTTAGAGAAGAAAGTGCGTCTGGGCGGTTTTAGACAAACGGAGGAATTAAGTCAAAACAATACAAGTTAAAACGCTCAAGATAAAATGATGGTAAATGATGGTTTGATGAAAATTTGAAGGCATTTTGAGCTCATCAAAAGTTAAGAACTTTTTTTTTTTTGGTTTAGCTGAAGAAGAAAGTTTTCTTTGGATTGCATTTTTGTGCATGACAACACTGTCTATACTACGTCATGAATGTAATGACAAGTGAACATTTAACATTCTTCAAGACCAAAACAAGTAATAGATGGATTTTTCCCCTATCAAATACAAAAAGGCCACAGCTACAAGACCACAACTACTGAAATAGATATTTACTTTGTACAGTATTTTCAAAGGTTTGCCAAAAACATTGTGCGATACCAATATATCTCTGCCTGATTCCAGGAGTTGCAATTCATTTGGCTGCATTTATCTGTTGACAGCTTGTATAAAGTCGACACGGAAGTTCGACTTCTTCCTGAACCCACTGGCGCACGGCAACATTTCACTGTTCCAGATTTTGTGTTTTCGAGCTGTGTCGGGCGGTCAGGAGTCATTGAAAAGGCTGACTTTTTGCCTCTGAGGGGGTGTAACCAGAGTACAGCCTCGTGTCTGATAACATCTCATGCAATCTCTCTATTTATTGCAACTTAAGCAGTACGATTTAGTTTGGCTTTAGGCTTCGAAAAAATGTCTTAAGGCGTGGAAAAACTGCCCCTTCTTACCTCTCAGCAATACGGATCTTTGCATTTGCGATTGATGCTACGTTGACACCGGAGGCAGAACAGCAGTTATTTGACTTTTAAAGGTGGATGTTTATGCCCTATGAGAATAAAGGGGGGGAAAAAACCCCCAAAACAAAAGTCTCTGAGTATATAGAAGAAGCATCTTACTCTGTTGGAATCAACTCGAGGCCCGGCTGTACATGATGGAGGAGCCACGTTGAAGCCCCGTGGCACCAGGTACTCCTCGGCGTCCATCAAGTCGTCGAGGTCCTCCTCGTCCAGGAGGCTCTGGAAGAACTTGCTGTCGTTGGGGCTGGGCAGCTTCATGCGGTCGTCTCCCTGCATCCCAAAATCGCATTTCTTTAAGCCGGCGGGCCACCGGCTGCACAGAGGGGCCTCATTAAAGAGCACCCGAGCAGACAGCTGGGCCCGAGGAGGACGTACCTGGATGACCAGGTAGCGCTGGGGGTCGCGGGCCATTCTGCAGAACTCGGCGGCGAGCTCCTTGAACTTCGGCCTGCTGTCGGCATCAATCATCCAGCCTGAGGAAGAGAAAAAAGGGGGGGAAGACAGAGGAGGACGGACGCGAGGCAGGCAGGCGGAAAAGAGAAAAATAGTTTAATACACAGATGTATAATGGATACAGCCCTGAGTGAAGAGATTTTTCTCCCTCTAAAACCTTTAGTTTAATCTTCTGCAGGATTGTGTTGCAATTTATTTTCAAAAAGACTCCTTTTTATCTTCAGATGCACTTTCCCCTTCATTGGCATTTCACACGGTTTCACTCTTTTAGGGGCTAAATGCGCGACTTCTTACAGAAAATACGCTTTAAGACTCTCATTCAAAGCCAAAAACATTTGGTAAATGCGACATCCCATGGGATTCACTTTCCACCTGTACGCTCTAAAGTCTTCGAGGTCTTTAAATCCCTCAATTAAACGAAATTCTAAAACACCAGCCTTTATTTTTCCAAAGAATGCTGCGTGAGTAACAACGATCTAGTCGGAGGGACAAGTGCTTTGCTGGAGGACGACTTCAGGGGTAGTTCTAAAGGAAGAGCAAAGATTTTTTTTTTAACTTCTTTTCAGTCCCAAGCCTACGCTGCTCTCCCCCCAGGCTGCCGCTGCAGTTAACACGGCAAACCCCCGAAGGTGAAGTGGAACAGTGGGTGGTGTCTCGGCTCCGTTTGGACTAACTGAGCGGCTGGTTTCGCCATTTACGCCTTCTATTACAGATCCTACCGCACCGACGGATAAATTGGGGGTCGGTTCGTAAGTCTCAAAGGGGAGTCAGCGGACTGTAATTGTTTTTCTTCACTTTATTTGATCGGTTATATGTGGCCGGCTAAAATGTGCTCCCCCGCTGTTGCCGCTTTCATTGGAAAACCAGCCCCTGTTTGAATAAGGCCCTACGCTTTCTGTTGTCGTTCTTCCCGCCTGACTTTGTTGTGTTCGTCTCATTTCCACACGCAGCTCCCCCCAAGCGGGCCCATTACCCGACTTGAGGTGTAATTACTCTGGCAATCATACTCCATTTCATCTTTATTGGGGCGGCGCCGGGGTTGGCGGGGCTCGCAGTGTGAAGGCAAACCGAACCCCAAACAGCAGCTCTCAGTCAACGCGCAATTACAAAGCCCTGTGGCCGTTTGCCAAGCGTCCTTCTGACTACTGAAAGGGACAGCTCCACCTGCCTGATTTGTCGGGCAAAGCAACCCGTTTTGGTCTTCATTGGCCTTCCTTTGGCTTTTTTTCTCGGTCTAATATTGGTCAAGCTATCGCGACAGACTGTGCCATATGTTTTTGTTCGTGCCTCAAGCTACTTAAACACCACTTAGTCAGCAGCCTATTCAAAAGAAGCATCATTTGCTCCTATTAATTTTGTTCAACCCACTAAAGATGGCAAAGTTTGCCCAACAAAGGGACTTTGAACTGCTAGTAGCTGCGAACTTCATAGAACTCTACTGCGTCTTCCTGAGGATATAAATCAAACGGGAAGAGCTGAGGATGAAAGAACAAGTGAAAGGCCTAAAATGCTGCGAACAGCTGATGAAAAGTAATGATTTTTAGAAGCAGGAGAGGAAAAAACCTAAAAAAGACCTAAGGAAGGACTGGACCTTCAGTTTTCCCATTTTCTATAGACTAAAGCCTCATCAGAGATACTTTCCCCCATAGAACAGTGGCAAGAAAGGATAAAGCAAGGGGAAAAGACTGAGGGATAACTATTAGTTTACATTAGCTTTACACAATAGTTACATTATTGAAGCAGAGCGGTAATATTTTGACAGAGGACCTAACAAACCCAGCATCCAAAGAACTTTGCAGTGTCTTTCTTCAAGAATCCTGGAGAACTCTTCCTGATGAATGTTTAAAAATGACAAGGAGGCTTGTCTGGGTCGTGCTGAAGGATCAAAGTGCTCTTAAAGAATCACGACTTATGAACTTCTTGCAAATGCACATACTCTGTTTTTTATTTATGTTGCATGTTTAATAAATCCTCTTGAAGTATTTCCGGTTTTCTTGGCAAAAACATTAAAAAATAAGAAGCTTTTTAGGACTGGGGATCACATGACGAGCCATTGAGATACTCATAATCCACAAAAAAAAGATTAGGGCGAGTTCTCTGTGCAGTTTTGAACAACTTTGGTCTATTTCAAAGGAAAAAGTATACCCACACACTTTTAGCCGAGCGGAGGAACCCCTAACAAAAAATCTGCATTTCTAATGTTATTGCCCAGACACATCTTGACAGATCTGCATCGCACATAAAAAATGATCTTTCTCCACCAGGGTGAAAGAAAGAATAAGTGGCGTTATTATTAGGGTAAAACGCTGCAGGGCTTTCACGGTTTGCTTCAGTGCTGTCAAAAGGCATCGGAATCTATTAGATATTATGACATTTTAGTGGGATCGCTGTCTTTATCAGGGGAATATGTTTTGATTTCAAGCTCTGAGCAGGATCAAATTATTTTTCTTTCAACAGATTTGGCATTTTAAGCTCTCTGCACAGTGAATCCCAAATGATACAGGTTTGAATTCACAGTGCTACTACCGGCTGGGGATGGGAGGTAAATGAATCATATAGACAGGGTAATAAGAGTCAGAGCTGATTAGCGGGAGTGTATATCCAATCTTTTTTTTGGGAGATTTTAAGGGATTACACAGCCAGAGTGACAGACAAAATCACCCCCGCAATAGGTGAAGACAAATTGAAGCGATGACCAAACTGGCGCGAGGAAAACTAGCCAAGGAGCTAATGGCTGGCACAACTCGAAGCATGTTTTTGGCATCCGCGCCTGGACTGTTTCCTGGAAATATGGGAGGGAGGATCCCACCGTAACCCACCGCCCAAGCGCAGCGAGTGAAAACCCCCCCCCAGAAATCTGGTCTGTTTGGGTGGATTGCACAAGCTGGACGGAGAGTTTGGAGGGGATCGAGGGGTCGTCCAGATGGAGGGTGAAGCCGACCGAGACGCGGGGGCGGAATCCCTGGTAGACAGCGCGCACCGTAAAACCAGCGTCTCATCACAGTTTCATGACAACACGCTTTCGATCTTTGCCTCCTCGTTATATCTCCGCTCCTCTGTCAGCCTTGAAATGGAGCGCCAGAGCTCCGGCATCAACTCACAAGGTGAATATTAAAATACGAGCTCTTTTATTAAACTACAACTCATCTGTATCACCAGGAGCTGAGCGGCAGCAGGTTATAAACATGATTTGAAAATAAAATAATTCTTTCCTTTTTTGTTTAAATGTTCTTTTATCACGAAATAACTTTAAATGCTGCAC